AGGAGGGAGAACCTCCTGCGCAGGGAGAAGCCTTTTGTTACCGCCGTGTCTCACACTGTCCTCTAAGGTGGCCTTGCACATTAGAGAGACGCGCTCGCATAGACAACCCCACACCCAAGGACTGGAAAAACCGCAGTGCTTATCTGCCTGCCTTAAAGAAAGCAGAAAATCAAACCCGCGGGAGGTGGGGGGCTGCCAGGCTGCCGGGATCATAAATATTCAAGTGCAGACAGCTGCTGGCCGGCGATTCCCTGTGAGAGCGGCGCAGTCACGGCTCTCGGACCGAGCTCAAAGCCCCAGACAAATCTCGGAGCTGCCCCTGGGGAGAGCAGCGCCGGCGCTCACAGCAAACGGCCAAGCCCAGGCCCGCATTCAGCAAACCGTACGTTGCAGCCAGAGCCAGCTCCTGGAATACTCACCCCGTGTCTCCAAGGCCATGTAAAAAAATTACCTGTTAAATTAAGCAGAAAAACAAAAGAATTAGCTGGTGTGACAGCCGGTGCCCTGGGAGAGAGGCAGGGCTGGGCTCACAGGGAAGCGGCAAAAGGCCACTTAGTCACTAACTAGAGGAGACTCAAACCGGCAGAAATTAGCCGATGCTAATGACACGTCTCTGCAGCTTTGAGTGTGACGGATGGGTGGAACGGGCACGTCACCGTCATCGTGCCACAGAGCCTGCTGTCACGGCCAGGTTCGTGGGCATCGTCGGCCCCTTGGCTGCCCAACGTAGCAGAGGGCGCGGGAGCGCCAGATCATCCTGCCGGGCTGCACGGCACCATGCCGAGCAGAGACCGAGCTTGCCAAGGCCTCACAAAACCCGTCTCTACGGGCTTTTCATCTAAGGCTCGGGCAGCCCCTAAGCAACAGGGAGCAGGGGGAGGGCAGCCTGTGGGGTGCCAGGGAAGGACAGAGGATTTTCTTTGGGGGATTTGCTTTTAAAAGCTTAAATAACCAAATCAGATCCAACTCCCACCAACTTCCCCGCAGGTCAAGCCTAGCTGTGAGGCTGTCCCCGTGCTTCTGCACCGGGCCAAGCACCAGTAACGAACAGCCCAGCCCAAAGGCCGGTTACTTTTCCCCAGCAAGACAAGAACTTGCTGGTCCCGCATCCCCTTTGGAGCACCAAGATGTACACCTGAAGAGTTGGGGGATTACGGGCTCAGCTCATGGCCCCTCTGAACCCCACGGAAGCAGCTCCTTATCTTCAAGACTGCTAAAAGGGAGGAAGCAGGTGAGGCAGGAGGGGTCCGGCCCTTACCGCGGCAGTCTCCCGCTCTGCCCCTGAGACAGTCACTGCATCAGCGAGGAGGGGGACAGACATGTTGTTACCACACATACACCGAGAGGGACTCAGACACTGGCACCTGCGGGACAGAGGGACAAAGGTAAGGTAGGAAAACACTCCCTTCTTCCCCACCCCGGCAACAATTTGCTCCAGAGGGACCAGCTATTTGGGAGGAAATGAATGACTACACGAAGGCTTTGATGTTTAAGCTCTTGGGACAGCCCTGCTCCGTCCCTGGCCTGGCAACGCCAGAGAGCCAGGAAGCAGAAAACGCTTCCCACATTGCAGCACCAGATGCGGGCGAGCGGGGATGCGCGCGTGGGGCATTGGAAGTGTTAAAATTAGCTCTTTCTGTTCCACCTCAAAGCCAAAGTTATTTCTGTGACTGTAACGACGTGGGCAGAGGGCGGCCGGGCGGCACGCAGCCTCAGCATCCCTTCCCGGCTGCCAGCAGAGCCAAGAAGGAGCCTCACCCACATCTGCTCCGATGGGGAAGCAGGAAACGCCGGCCCTTGGCATGCAGTAGGCAGCAGCAGCGGCTTTACAGCACTAATAAAAGGTCCGGCCCTCTTTTATGGAGCCAGCTGGGGATAAACCGGAGCGTTCAGGCGCTGGCCCGAGACCCAGCCCCACACTGCTTCCCAGAGCCTGCGACCCCCAGCGACGGCATCCCCGTCCCCCCCGCTGGGCAGCCAGCCCGGGCCACCACCGCTGTCCCCACCATAACGGCCTCCTGCCAGCACGAAGGGCTGATTGTCACCTCCCGGATCCCGGTCACCTGCGAAGCGGGCGGCACCGGCAGAGCTAACAGCCCCCACAACACCACCTTCAGCCACGACAGTCGCCGGCGTTTGTTCACAGTCCGGCGCAAATCACTAAAAGTACCGCACCTCACGTGACAGGCCCTAACCCCCACTTACTGCCCAGGACTAATTAGATCAGAGCACGTTTACGGCGCTGCCATCATCTCCCGGGAGCAAAATCAGCCTCCTGGCTACTGCCAGGAGCAAAGCAGACCCCACCGTCTGCTTGAGTCTTCAGATCTCACTGCCAGCACCGTCCCCAGAGGGTTTCGGAGGGCAAGAGACCACCCAACCCGCCCCCCAAACTCCCGGTACCCCGGCAGACAGCCTTACCCAACAGAAACAGCTGCCTCCTCTACCAGCCTGGGTCGAGACCTGCCCAACTCGTTTCACCAACTGTTTGTCAGCCGTTTCCCTGACTCAAACAAAAACACCGGGAACAACAAGCTCCTCGGGTCTGGCGAACCTCGCAGACACACAGCCCACGTGCTCGTGTGTACTCCAGGGTCAAAACAACCAGCGAG